TTTAAGACTATCTAAATAGGTTTTTTTTTTAACTTCTGCTCTTAGTTATCCATTAAATAAATGAGCAGAAGTTTTTTTTCCCCTCACAACCAGCCATGAAAACTTCTTTCAGAAAATTTCAGGAGACAACACAGAGCTGATGTTTTCATGGCTGGTTATGAGAATTGCTATTTTGTGAATATAAACACTGACTGTTCTTTCAGGACATGGTTGGGGTTGTGGGTGACCTTGACCCCCGACACATTTTATCTTCACTTCTAGGCTATGTGGCTGGGCTATCCAGGGACCAGCGGCGCCTTATTCATGGATTACATCATCACAGACAAAGAAACTTCACCCATAGAAGTAGCTGAGCAGTACTCCGAAAAGATGGCTTACATGCCCAATACATTCTTCATTGGAGATCACGCAAACATGTTCCCACATCTGAAGGTACCGTGTGGAGTTCAGCGAGCAAGGCTAGAATCGGCCAGCTTTGTTTCTCTCAGAGTTTCCTCTGAAGTTCAGAGAAGCCCCAATCCCAGCCTTCTCAAAAGCATTTCTTTTCTTTCAGAAAAAAGCAGTTATTGACTTCAAATCGAACGGGCATATTTATGATAACCGAATTGTTCTGAACGGCATTGACCTCAAGGCCTTCCTGGACAGCCTACCTGATGTAAAGATAGTAAAGGTGAGAAGGCATGAACACCTTGTAGAAGGTTGCACCTGGGGAGCTGAAAAGGCTAACCTTCAAGGAAAGGGGTTGCAAGTTGCACTGGCTAGATTTTACGCTTCGCTGCTTCCTCTTTCTGAAAACAAACGGGGTTTGCCTCCCTTGGCTTCTAGATGAAGTGCCCTGACGGAGGAGACAACGCAGACAGCAGTGCTGCTCTCAGCATGCCCGTCATCCCCATGAATACCATTGCGGAAGCTGTGATTGATATGATAAACCGTGGACAAATCCAAATAACAATAAACGGATTCAGCATTAGCAATGGATTAGCAACCACCCAGGTGAAAATCTCTTTTGTTTCCTGTTTTGGGATTCTGGGGCTCCTCCAGTTGAGGGTCTTGAATGGGGAAGGAAGGAGGGAGGGAGGGGAAGGCAGTAGAAGAGGCCCCGTGGCTCAAGAGCCCCCCCCTGAGGAAAGGCTTCCCTTTAGATCAACAACAAAGCTGCAACTGGAGAGGAGGTTCCACGCACCATCATTGTCACCACTCGATCCCAGTATGGGCTGCCTGAGGATTCGGTTGTCTATTGCAACTTCAACCAGCTTTATAAGATTGACCCGGCCACTCTGCAAATGTGGGCTAACGTGAGTAATTGCCTGTGGTCTCTCGGGGCCCTTTTTAAAACGGGGACTGGAGGATGGGAGTTTTTTCTAGGTCATGTTGCACCTGCCTAACCCTTTGTCGTTCCTGCCTTCAGATCCTGAAGCGAGTTCCAAACAGTGTTTTATGGCTGTTGCGATTCCCAGCCGTGGGGGAGCCAAATATCCAGCAGTACGCTCAGAACATGGGCCTGCCCCAGAGCCGCATCATCTTCTCCCCCGTTGCCCCCAAAGAAGAGCACGTGAGGAGGGGCCAACTGGCCGATGTCTGCCTTGACACTCCTCTTTGTAACGGCCATACCACAGGGATGGACGTGCTCTGGGCTGGGACGCCAATGGTCACGATGCCAGGTAAGGGGGGGAGGAGGGGCTCTTCCTATCCAGCCCCTTCCTCAATATGTCAAGAAAGCGCCCTGTGGCTGAGCAGGTGTGAGCCCCTCTTGCCTTTTGCCTCCAGGAGAGACGCTGGCGTCCCGGGTGGCAGCCTCCCAGCTGACGTGCCTGGGCTGCCTTGAGCTCATCGCAAAGAGTCGGCAGGAATACGAAGACATTGCGGTGAAACTTGGAACGGACCTAGAATAGTGAGTGTTGCCTCAGAGAGGAACGCCTGGGCCCCAAATAGTTTTGAGGAAGAAGGGGAGAGTTTCTGAGGGCTGGGCTTCTGACCATTGGGGGGTTTGTTCTCCCCCTGCAGCCTGAAGAAGATTCGTGGCAAGGTCTGGAAGCAGAGAATATCCAGCCCCCTGTTCAACACCAAGCAGTACACGATGGAGTTGGAGCGGCTTTATCTCCAGATGTGGGAGCACTGTGCAGCTGGCAACAAGCCGGAGCACATCGTCAATTCCCTGGAGAGTGGCGAATCTGCCTAGGCCGCCCGGCCGTGTGTGGAAGCTGCCAGGAGGCCCCTGGGCAGAGGCCACCAACAGGGACTTCGCCCTCTGCTTCCTTCCCCTGCCTGGCACTCCTAGCAGAAAGGATCTGTGGCTGGGACTGGAGAGCGCAGCCGGACTTTCCTCCTCCTGCATGACGGAAGAGCTGGGGCTGCCTGTCCTGGCCGGAGCATTTGCCGCTCTGCCAGGCCCCGGTGGGGGGCGTCTTTGGGCTGGCCTTCACAAGGAAAGGTATAGGACAGCGAAGCAGGCAGCTGCCGTTTCACGGATGGATTCAGTTTCCCTAGGCGTTAGATCTCCCCTCGTGGATTGGAACTGGAGCATTTTCTTTTTTAAAGGATTGGTTTTCGGGTATTCCTGTTGGTACTCGTGTGGGTCTTGACGAGGTTCCCGGCCAACTTGAGTGGCTCCCTCCCTCCCTGGGAATCTCTTCTGCTGGCGAAGCTTTTTTACGGGTTTTATAAACCACTTGAGCCAACATCGGCCTCCTTCATGTCTTGACACGCCTCTTAGGATCTTCTTGTGTGCTGTCTTGACTCCTGCCGGGGGGGGGGGGGCTTTTTCGAAAGCCGCCTCTTGTCGGTTCCCTTCGGAACGACGGCAGCACGCTTCTCTGTAGGAAAGATTTAAACTGAATTGGAAACGAGGTCTCCCCATCTTTCTCTGCGGAGAAAGCCCAGCCTGGTGCCAAATGCTTATCCTTATCAGGAAAAATAAATTATGTATGGAGATATGCAGGCGTAGGCCAGGCTTGGAAAATAAAGCTCTGGTTTAACCAGGTTGGCCCACAGATGGGGGGGACCAGCCCTCCTCCCCCCCCCCAAAGCAATTATGTGCAGGGCTGCTGGCCTCTCTTGACTTCAGCAGAAATGCAACCCCAGGTAAGTATAGATTCCCTTTGCAGGGTCTGCCTCCAGACCACCTGCCCCACCCAGGGAGATGCTTGAAAGGCAGCATTGGACAGGCAGGAAAAAACTACACCCCCCCCCCCACTTAACCTGCTCTCTGCCTGCAATTAACTGAGACCTCAAGAGTGCTGCATTGGGGGGGGGCTTGATGGCTCCCTAGGGTGCTGGTGCCCCTTTATTATTCCCACT